AGAGGTGATGACGACCCCTGCCCCCGAACCGTTCACGGTGGAGGACCCATCCGTGAAGACGGTCCAGATTTTCCTCCTTGCATCCAGAGTCTCCTGATAGGAGCACTCGGCCAAGAAGTCTGCCAAGGCTTGCGCCTTGATGGCTGTTCTCGGCTGATAACCGATACTGAACTCGGTGAGCTCGAAAGCCCACTTTGCTAGTCTACCGGATTTTTCAACCTTGCCGAGGACTTTCTCTAACGGCTGATCAGTTAGAACCGCTATTTGATGAGAATCAAAATAGGGTCGCAACTTCCGAGCAGCCACCACCACTGCATAAGCCACTTTTTCTAACAATGGGTAGCGCGTCTCGGCATCCGTCAGGGTGTGGCTGACGAAATAGATCGGCTGTTGAACTTTTTCTTCTTCCCTTAGCAGCACCGCGCTTACCGTGGCTGGACTGACCGCCACGTATAAGTATAGGATGTCTCCTACGACTGGCCTTGCCAGTGTTGGGAGTTGAGCCAGGTGTTCACGGAGCTGCTGAAAGGCTGACTTTTGTTCGTCTCCCCATTCAATGCCTTTTGAATTTTGGAGCTTCAGCGCCTTGAAGAAAGGGAGCCCTTTGTCTGAGGCTCGTGAGATGAACCTGGACAAGGCAGCCATTCTCCCGGCTAGACGCTGAATATCCCTTTTTGTCTTCGGCTCGGGGAGGTCTAAAGCAGCTTGTACTTTGGCGGGGTTTGCATCAATCCCCCTCTTGCTGACCATGAAGCCGAGGAACTTGCCTGACTTCACGCCGAAGACACATTTCTTCGGATTCAGCTTCATTTTGTATTTTCTGAGGGTGGCGAAGGTTTCGGCTAGGTCCGTGACATGATCTTTTTCTTTTATGCTTTTGACGATTGAGTCGTCAACATAAACCTCCATGTTTCGGCCTTTTTGCTCGGCGAAAACCTGATCAACCAACCTCTGATATGTTGCCCCCGCATTTTTCAATCCGAAGGGCATCATTCTGTAATTGTACAACCCGGAACTTGTTATGAACGCTGTTTTAGCTCGGTCCTCGGGGTGCATGAAGATCTGATGGTATCCCGAGAATGCGTCCATGAAACTGAGCAGAGCATGCCCGCTTGTCGAGTCGACCAGTTGGTCGATCCTCGGCAGCGGATAGGAGTCCTTGGGACATGCCCTATTCAGGTCCGTGAAGTCAACGCACATCCTCCAGTTACCATTTGCCTTCTGAACCATTACAACATTGGCCAGCCACTCCGGATACTGACAGGGTTCAATGAACCCAGCATCTAGGAGCTTATCGACCTCAGCTGCGATGTTCTGGTTCTTTTCGGCGGAGTAGTTCCGCTTTTTCTGCTTAATGGGTCGACTGGAGGGGTCGACATTAAGCCTATGGGAGACGAAGTCCGGATCAATCCCGGGCATTTCTGCGGCTGAGAAGGCGAACACGTCTCCACTGGCCCGTAGGAGTTGGACGAGTGCCGCACGGGTGTTTGGCTCCAGTGACGACCCGATGCTAACACATCTGTTCGGATCTCCTACGGTCAGTTCTATTGACTCGGTCAGGTCATCCGTTTCCATGCTCTTAGAGTTGGATTCCTCGAATTCCGGCCTGCTATCAATATTAGCAGACTTTCCTGACCGCGGCTGGCCATCAGAGTCGTTCGGCTCTGAGGCGGAGTCAGCCTTTTGGCCCCCATCAGATTTCTCGTTGTCTGGGGCTTCATTAGCCGAAACGTCTGAGCCTCTCGGCTTTTTGGCGTTTCGGTCCCGGTGCTTTTCCTCCCCATCGCCACGGTCGCCTCGGCGAGACGTGGATGGCTTGAGGTGATTGCATCGGCGGGCTTCTTTTTGACTGCCCTTTATTTTCTCGGAGCGTCCCTCGTCTGAAACGTATATCATGATTTGATGATACGTGGAGACGACTCCTTGAATGCCGTGAATGAGGGGTCTCCCCATGATCACGTTGTATGCAGATGGAGCATCTACGACCAAAAATTCGGCCATGATATTCCTAGCTGCTCGGCCTTCGCCGATGGTGACAGGAAGTGTAATCTTCCCGTCAGGATACGAGGAAGAGCCGTTGAATCCAGACACCGGGTAGGGTGCGGGGGCCAGGTGCTCGGCTCCCATCCTCAGCTGGTCGAACGCTCCTCGGAAGAGGATGTTCGCCCCGCTACCGCCGTCGACGAGGGTCCGCCAGACGTTGCGGTTGGCGATGCCCAGAATGATTACTAGTGGGTCATCGTGGGGGTATACCACCCCCTCACAGTCTTCGGCTGTGAACAGGATGTTCGGCGCCGGTGACTGGGACTGCCGAAGCTCAGCCTGATGAATCTGATGGGTTAGACCCCTCAGTTGGCGTTTGGCTGTGCCTCGCGAGATTCCCCCGGAAATAACCAGGATGTCGAGGGACTCCTTGCCCTGAGGTCCCTTATCCTTCTTCCGAGCGAAGTTGAGGTCCTGCCGAGAATCTTTTTCAGCTTTTTTCTCCTCGCGCCTGTCCGCGAGGTATTGGCTCAGGTACCCCTTGCGGACCAGATCCTCAATCTGGTCCTTCAGCTGGACGCAGTCCTCGGTGCGATGTCCGGGTGAGTCATGGAACTCGCACCACTGGTCCTTTCCCCTCGTCTGATGCCAGGGAGGCAACGGACGAGGTTTTTTGAATCTCCCCTCGTCCTTCGTCGTGCTGAAAATCTTAGCACGGGGAAGGGAGAGTGGAGTGTATGAATCGTACCTTCCCGTGTAGGGAAAGTGTCTTTCCTTCTTCGGCTCGGCAGCAGAGGACGGTTCTGAGGCCTTAGCCTTCCCTTTCCTCTGCGCCGAGACTTCGGGCTGCTGCCCTTTCGGCTTCTCAATTCTCGGACGAGACTGAGACCTGGATCTGTTCCACTCCTCGGCTCGGATGAACCTATCCGATGCTTCCAAGGCTTCCTCCAGGGTCTGCGGGGGATGCATGACCATGAAGTCCAGGAACTTTCCAGCTTGGAGGCCGTTCCGTAGCGCGAACACGGCCAGGCCTTGATCCAGGCTTGTGATTCCGGATGACTCGTTGCTGAAGCGAGTCAGATAGTCGCGGAGGCTCTCGTCCTCCGCCTGCTGCAGACTCATTAGCTCTGCAGTGGTCTTCTCTCGGCGGTTGGCCGTAGAGAATTTGCTCTTGAACTTGTTGGAGAGGTCGTTCCAACCGGTTATGGAGCCTTCCTTGAGCCCTTTGGTGATCCAGGATTGGGCAACACCTTTGAGGGTCGTAGGAAAGTATTTACACCAGGTAGCCTCAGACCTCGGGTTCAGATACATGTGCCCCTCGTAAGAGGCAATGTGATCCTTAGGATCTGAGGTACCATCGTAAGTAATATGTGCCGGGATTTTGACCGTTGGCACATGCTCTTCCAGAATCCACTTCTGGAAGGGCGAGTTCGATGGAACCATGACCGCCTTCCCCTTGTACCCGGCCTCAGGGACCTCGCTCCCTCCTCTCTCAGAGGTGGAAGTGGTTTTCGTCCCCGGCTGAGACAAGGTTGGGTGGGGTCCGGTATCCTCTGGGAAGGTGAGGCGGCTATGCACACTCACCTCCCTCGAACCCAAGCGTTCGTGAACGCTTTGGCGGGCGAATTCCGGGTCCTTGGAGGGCCCCATGGAATTCTGAGCTTCAGAGTGGTCAGAGGGTTGAGGGTTCCTCCTCCTCTCCTTACTGGAGTTTCGGGTGTCCCCTCGCCACCTCTGGCCGAGCTCTCTATGTGGTGGAACTTGTCCACCATCATCCTGACCGATCCTCCTTTTCAGGTTTCTCGGCTGGTGATCATCAGGCATCTGGATTGGAGCCCCTTGAGCTTTAAGGAACTCCATGCAGATGGCCACTGCTCTGGCCACTTCCTCGGTGGAGGGTCCGGAGGGAGGAGTCTCCCGCGGATGTGACCTGGATTGCACGCTATGGCGCGGCGGGGAGTTCCTCGCACCTGAGCCACTCGGTCTCGGGGATGGCCCCGGCTGCCGAGTGTGGTGCGAGGTGTTCTCCTCCTGGAGGCTAGGACCTCTTGAGGCTTCCCTTTCCGGAGAAATGGGGGCCTCCGATTCGGAAGAGGCTTGCTCCGGGGAGGGATAAACCGGCTGGCGTTCCCTCACCGTAATCCGGCCTCCTCCCTTCTTAGCCTTCTTGGAACTCTTTCCACTCTTAGTCATGGCGACTGCCGGAGTGTTTGATGACTGACGCGAAATTTAGTAGCGTTCCCCACAGACGGCGCCAAATTGTTTCGGATGAAAACAATCGAATCTCGGAAGATCCTTTTATCTTGAGGGAACTTGGTCTCGGTCCGAACAACGCAGGAGCCGAGGGTTTCCTGCACAACAAATACACGTAAACTAGCCTCGGGGGGGACGCCGAGGAAGGCCCCTCCGATGCTTAAGTCAGTATATTAGAGAGAGAAAGCTGTGCAAGAGTTTAGTTGCTTGAGGCTTTATTGTCTTACCAAGAATTGACCAAATTGTTGGCTTTTATACCTTGGCTAATGAAGGAGGCGGATTGGGCCCGGAAGTCAGTTGGGCTGGGCCAAGCTGATTGGGCCGTTGACTGACCTTGACATGGCTTTGAGGATGTTGATTTTTGACTTTAGCACATTTGGAGAGTTGAACCTTAACCTTGGGCTTTTAATTGGATCATTCAGTGACCAGGCCCAATTGGACTAAATTGGACCCAAACATCTATTATACAATAAAGGAAATTGCATAAAATATTGATACTAAAATATTCTGTCTAACATGGCATGCTCTCAATTTTGATGGGGTAATGAAAGGAGTACGGGCAGGAGGTGCAGCAAATTATACATGACCAATTAGTTACTCGTATGTTCATTTTCACATTTTTTGCTTTTTTTGGAAGTTGCAAAGCCTTTGTGCTGGGTAAATGGCATTGGTGAGGGTTTTGGAACTAGCATGTGATCTTCGAATCAGTAAACTTATGATCCTACTTGATATCATTGCTAGTGTACATGCCTTGCATGAAGATGCATCTAGAATGTGGTGACTGGTGAGTAAGCTCACTTGAATTATTATTGTCGTAACCTGATTAGCAAAAAGGAATGAGAGCTAGAAGTGGTTCATGTATTTCGCGAAGGAAATAAAAAAGTGACGGATTGACTAATTGACTTGCAAATCAAGGAGTGACTAAAAAAAGGATTGATTTACTAGAAGGGGCTTCGATTGGTGTTCGTAGGTTTAGATGAGAATATTAAGGGCGTGACTCTTCCACATCTCATCCCACCATAAGAGTTTGCAGTTGAGTTTCTTTCTTTTACTTTTGTTTTCTCTTGTTTTCTGTTTTGTTTTTTTGGTTTATCACATGAATTGCTATGTACGTTTTCCAACACGCAACTTTATCTATTACCCCGTAATATCTTTTTTTTTTTTTTTTGTTAAGTCCTTATTATATTAATCTCTTTCCGCTTTGACCATTTTCCTAACTAAAATATTCCAAAGGTAAAGATTTTTACCACATAAAAAGTTCAACTTTTAAACCGTGCAATTGCATTAGGGAAGATAGGAAGTAATTAATCCACCCATATTCCCATTCGCCCATTCCAATACTTTTACAACCCGTAAAACTCATTCAGTACTCATTAGGGAGCTTAATCAAGGCTTCTAATTTAACCGGTGGCCGACGAGAAGGGAGAGAAACTGAGGAAAATACAAACTGAGGAAAATGCCGTCAAAAACCAAAAGAAAAACCTCTAATCTTCAACCCCAGATTAAAGACGCCATCAAAGTGCAAAATCAACAAAAACCCAACAAGTAATTTCATTTCTTTCTCTTTCCCTAATCTTAAATTGTCAATTTTCATTACTATATATATACTATCAAAATTTTCTAATCTTCATTTCAACAACTGTGTTTATTAATTTTACAGTGAATGCTGTATTGAGGGCGACCGTCTTTTCCGTCTTCTCCATTCCCTCCAAAGGTAATTTCAATAATTTTTTCATGTTCAAGAACCGTTATTGCATATATACGAAAATCGTAATTTGGGTAAATTTTTTTTTTTTTTAATTGTATGGGTGATATTAGCACACTCTAAATTGAATTAAAAGTTTATAATTGATTGATATGATGTTAGTTGTGATTATGGAAACAGGGAAATTGAATCAGAATTACAGTCCAATAAAATCTTACCTGAGAAGTTGTGGTTCAAGGTGTGATTTTTACTTATGCAAGACAAAACTGATTATTGTTTAAGAAATTTTGTATTTGCCTAAGTTTATAAATATGGTGTAGTTATTGATTATAGTGGTATTTGATGTGGACTATTGCAGCAACACTTTGCTGTTGGGATCAATGAAGTGACGCGACTGCTTGAACGAATGGCTCCATCTAGTGATGATGCTGCCTTTGCTGCTGCTCAAAAAGGATCCGGGGGCCGTCCTCCATGTTCTTCTGTCGCTAAACTTCAGGTTTGTTTTTTTCCTGAGCTGCATCATATTATGTCAAAACATGAAACTGTTGTTACTTAATGAATTTGATATTTGAGTAAATTAATCTGGACATAAAGAAAAATGTACTGAAATACTCAGACCTGACAATTTGACATGAACATGATTGTTCCTCGTAAACTCCATGTAATTAAAAGTAGAAGCCCTTACATGTTACATTATACAATCTGCAAAAAAGTAAAAATTATTTGCTTTAAGGTTTGTGTATCGGTGCAATAGTGAGATTCTATGCAATTTGGGATGCCAGGGCAGGAAAGTTGGATTAGCTGAATGCTTTGTAAGAGACTTATGTTTTGCTTTGTAAGAGACTTATGTTTGTGTAAATGACTTCTTTATATGGTAATGTGGGAAAAGAAGATCAGGCATTAAATAGATTTTCCTGTGCCTGATATCTATTGTAATGCTTAACAGATGAACTTGACACTCCTATTTTCAGTACTGTGTGATATTACCATTACTAATGCCACTTTCTTAATCTTGTTTCATATTTTTCTTGGGAAAACTGGTTCTAGAGAAGAGAACCTATTTTATTGTATAATGTGTACACTACAGCTCGGTGCACGGAACCAACCATTCCACATACTTATCATGATCTGGTAATGTTTAGCAGTCAGTTTAATGGTAACCTTCATTATCATCATCTTGCCTACTGCATGGATTTAGGTAAATAAATATCATATTCAAGAAAGTGTGTGTTCCATTCATGTTTACCTCTTCCTTAATTTGTATTACCTTGCTCTAGACACAAACGTGATTTTTCCTAGTACGATATCAGGCTGTGCTGGTAGCATCAGACTGCAACTCGAGATGGCTCACTAAGCATCTGCCAAGCTTGGCCACTTCCAGAGATGTATCAATTATCTATGTTAAAGATAATAAAGAAGGTTCTTTGAGACTGGGTGAGGTTGTCAAGGTCAAAACAGCTGTTGCTCTTGGAGTTAAGGTGAAAGTCTAAGAGGAAAAAAACTTGCCTTTCCTCATTTCCTGATGTTTTGCTTGTTTCAAAGTCATTTATTGAGCTTTGCAATATCTATTAGCATGGAATGCTTGAAATGCATATCATGGTGATTTTGGAATCCAAGTGATAACAAAAGGGTGTATAATTTGGGAGGAATATATGGGGGCGATCAAAGCTATGATATGCATATGAAGTGCATTGCTTGTTGTAAGCACATATGATTCTTTTGTTTATGATTTACAAACTTACTATAATTCTTGTGATAGGTTAAAGGAAGTAGTATCAACCAACTTCTTGAAGAAGTTCTTCATGACAAGTCAAAAGAACTGAATGCATAGACTCCACAAAGCTGGTCAATGTGTCTTGTCAGTTGTATGCAGAGTGGAGACAACTTAACTCTCTTGAATCATGTAGGAGACCATGGCCTTTAACACATACATCCAACTAAAAACGCATCATGATTCATGAGCTCAAACTGCAGCTGCCTCAGTGTAAGGGACATGTTCGAGCGGGGCTCTAGGAGGCCAATTTTCAAGGATTGGACAACTGCTGTACAAGATGAGCATGTTTTATGTCGTCTAATTCCTTTACTCATTCTCAGGAAAGACATGTATTTACATTATCCACTGTACTGAGATGGTTTGCTGCCCTCTTCTTAAGGAGGGATAATAGATTAGTAGGTCATATAGGGCTTTGGCCATTTTAATCCAAAATAGGTGTTGGCCCACCTTTAAGTTTCTTCATTGCATATTATCTTATGGACCAAAACACGAAGAAATTGGGGTGGAACCCTCAAATGTTGGACTAAAAAGTCTAATGGCGATTTGGTTCTACTAACTACTTTCTTTTTCTTTTTAATTATTATTTCTAGGAAATAATTGTTCTATGGAAATATTATTTTCCAAACTCGGAAATAACTTGACTGATTTAAAATCGGTCGATACTGAGTGTGAATTGAATCAAACTCTATACGAATTCGAATTCATGAACCGGCTCAAAAACCAGATTTGACCACTCTAATTTCACGAACTCATGATCCGGGTCAAAAACCAAAATTGAAAACTCTAATTTCATGAACTCATGATCCGGCTCAAAAAAATGAAGGTGATTGACAAAGAGCTCACTGATGAACGTGTGGTGAATTCTAAACTATAACATTTCCCCTTTTTTGTTCAACAAAATCATGTTCTTCTCTTTCTACATGGTCATAGATTTGCCAACTCTGATCACAAGTACATAGTGAGGAGAATTAACCATCAACGAGAGAGATTGACAAAGAGCTCAATCCTAACTTTGCAGCGGATTTCAAACTACAAGACTTTTGCTTTATAGTTCCAAAGTATCTTTGTTCCTTTCTTTCTGTATAGTCTAAAATTTGTCAACTGCCATGCAACTATGGTAGCTTTGAAAGTCATTGCGTCTCTGTTAGCTAATAAATATCATTATGAAATGCTTGTATAATCTAACCATAACACATTATTGTCGTATGAAAGTCATCTATCGTTAGTTTTTGAATTCTTACAGATAGTAGTTGAACTTTGATATCAAATACTGTCTACATTACTAACTTTTGTAGTTTGGTATACATCAAAAGGAAAAAAACAATTCTGTTGATTTTACCATGGTAAAAACATTCATTAAGCAATGTTCCTTACCCCAAGCAAGAAATGAGATTTAATCTTCATAATGTTGGTCTTGTTATCTAGGTTTTGTAGTCCAAATCCATATTTTTTTTGTTTTCTCTAAGAAAATGTGTTTTTTTGGAACCTTTCCTTTAAAATCGAAACTGTAGAAAAACTACCCCACCCACTAGCCTGGGTTTTAATTCGGGCCAGACAGGCCCATCATCATTTTGTATATGTTTCGGATGTCTCTTACAAAGTCCAGATGGACTAAGACCCATGTATTAGAAATTTAGAATAACACACTAATACACTACATGTGTAGTAGTTCGTATCAGATTAAGAAAAATTAGGACAACAATATTTTACATGTGTAGTAGTTCGTATTAGATTAAGAAAATATGGACAATAATATTTTTTTATTGGGTAAGGACGAGATTGGTGAGGTTCGACTCATGACATCACATTTAAAAATTAGAAACCTCAAAGTGCTGGCCAGCGAACTACTCTAAACGCTTACATTACATTTCATACAGACTGATAATAAGCATTGAGAATTTGAAACTATATCGGTACATTTACACACAACTTTAAACAATTGCATTGGATACCTTCACTTAAATAAGTTGTGAGTCATGTGACATGTAACACTCAAGTAGGCCTTTTAATGTAGGACGAATGAAAGAAATGTAACATTATATTGTTATTACTTGTAGACTTGTAGTATAACGTAAAACTTTGATCTATGAAGTTTATGTAATAAACTGATTCACACTTCACATCAGGCAATGATTGTGTGCAAAAATAATGCAAAATTGCTAGAAGATACACTATTTCCCCACCAAAGAGGGATTTTAATGCTTTATCATCTACCTCTCTGAATTGTCTCTATCCTAATATTATTAAGCGGCTTCAAATAAGTGTATCTTTCATTTGATGATATACATTCTCTCTCAATCAATGCTTAAGATTTTAAAAATAAGGAAATCGTTTGGTCATTTAGATTTTCCTTTATTAATTACTGTTTTAAGTAAAAAAAAAAAAAAAAAACCTAACACTAATTTAAAATACCTTAGCTACTAATACTACGTAAGATACCGGAGTTTCTAATATAGCTTAGCGTTGCATGCATGATGAGAATGAGTTTATTTATATACTCACTCATAATTTATCTACTAGCCATGGTAGTTCACTTGTATATGCGTGTGTGTAAGGACGTTATCGAGACAATCGAGTACCTCATGTGCATTGTACATTAATCTAAATATTTTTGCTATCAGATACGGAGTAATTTGTAATCATCTGTCCTTATTAAAATGAATACTGATTTTTACTCCATATAAATTTTGTGCAATGTAATATTCCTTGTTAAGAGCCCACAACACCACAAGGCCATAAGGAGATCAGGTGGGAGATTTATGGCACAACCACAAGGATGGATTTTAATTGGTCCTTGAGTTAGGGTTTCTCCCTTCTCCCATCCCCCCTCCACATAGTAGCCCACGTTGTCTTTATGAAAGTTATATCTCTCATTTTCAAAATATTAGGTAATACTACTTGACCTTTGTTACAACAATTTGATCATATATACATTATCATTCCACGTTGGAATAATAGAAGTATCTATTTATGAAGATGATCGCGTGAGAAAAAGAAAAAAAAAAATATATATATATATATATATGAAAAAATTATGAAATCAGTTGCTATTACAATTTATCATATCGTTAAATTCAATGATTTTAGAAATGTGGTACTAAATTTATGATTGGAACAAACACTACTATATGGAGTGATATTAACTCTAACGAACAACTTAATTAGCAAGTGATATCAAAGATTAAAACGTACAAAATACATGTTATCCAAATACAAATTAGTGTATAATATTAATAACTAGCCCTATAGTTAAATAAAGTTAAAAGTGCCCATCATATAATAATGAACTGACATGCTTAATACGAGTATAATAATTGTCAAAGTAAAATCGTCAAAAGTTGCAGAAAGAGTGAAGACTGAACTAATGCACGAAAACAGCCAAGAAGTCCTTGTAATACCAGCTATATTTAGGAGCTGATTTAGTAGAATTAAGTCCATCCAAGAACCAAATGTTTCTTTCAGAACAGTTGCATGTTTTTGTCTTGAAATGTTCAAATGCTTATAATGTTATTATTTCTTAAAAGTTGGCATAAAAGATGAAGCCATTTTCATGTAAATCTTGTAAGTACTATCACTTGCATTTGCTTACTTAGGCACTTGGCTATATTAGCTCATTTTGCACCTAATATCTTTGTTTTTGGGTGGTGCCATTCAACGGGGACAATACTTCTCCAGCGTTGTTTGATTGAGACTCTTTCATTTAATGTCGATCACCCAATATATCGAGCTCTATTTTTCTTAGCTTGATCTTTCTCTTCACTATATTCGTAGAGGACTAATTAAAAATGCAGTTGTTGTCATGCATAACATAACTCTGTTCTTTAAATGGTATCAAGTGGTGATGAAAACTTATTTAAAAACATATTTTAGAGTGATAAATTTACATTTCTGTACTTATCTTAGATTTTTTTATTAGCTTGTACATCACTCGTATTATTGTCCTCACTAATGAATTCAATATATAGTGAGGACAATAATTTTCTAGATCATTCTCCTCACTAATAATGAATTCAATAGAAAAGAAAAATGTACGCATAAAATTATTATCCTGTGTTTACAAAAATGTATTTCGTACTTAACATATACTATGTACTAGACTATTGGTACTTAACTAGCTAGGAAAAGATTATTCTTAGTATTCTCTACAAAAGTATTACGTATTAACGGATAAACCACATTGATTAATTAAAATATAGATATGTTCAAGTTTTCGTATCACAAGGGATGGAGTAGTTACAGGTCATGTGTAAACTTGGTCAGCAATAATCAACATGGAATAGGACCAGCCAAATCTTATTATTGAGGGTCGAAGAGACCAACTGCAAGATTTCAAGGGCAATAGCTACATGTCTTAATAATGTACATCTTGATATGCAGTTGAAGCACTTAAATGAAACAATTTAAGGTCAAATGATAAGATTCATAAAATTATTACTACTAATAATAATGCTAGTTCAACATGTATTAATTATCAAATAATTCTTGAGAAGTTGAGATCAGATTACATGAGATCTGTTAATTATGCATAATAATTCAATTGGAAGAGGCATAAAATATAGTAATATGTATAAAGTATTACACAAGATCAATTTCTCAACATGGCATAACATAAGTAACCAATAATTATGTTATGATGATTATATTATAAAATGATGATATAACCTATCTATGATAAAAACTCTAGTCAAATCAACAACAAACGTATAGTTTTTGTAGAATCCATAAGAAATAATTCTCCCAAAAGATATGGCATGAAACTGCGATACTGTTTGCAAAATAAGCTACTCATCATGATCAACTGCCTCTCTTAATTTAGAATAAGGTTGGTTGATTCTTATTAATCATTCCCCACATGTTTGGTCATAATCGCTAGTTATTGTTAAATTGGCATGCTGCCCCTACATGTTTTGCTATGAGGAATTCACATATTTCACCGGATAGAGATTTTTAGGCCCCGTTTTCTTGAACTCATTTTCATTTCATTCTTACATTCAATTTAATTCAAAACGTGTTCTATTTACCAGATTTTCACTTATCTGAACTTATTTAAACTTATTTTAGTTATAATTTGAACTTGGATAACCCTTATGATAACTTATTTAAACCTGAACTGAAATTATCTGAACTAATTAAATCTGAGAAAAGCGAAAACAAGGTGAATATTTCCTTTTTATGTTTCACTTCAATTTAGATCAAATGTAGTGTGATGATACTGGTAATCCTAAGCTAAGCTAGTATAGGATATATGAAGACAAAATTAAAGGACCTACTGATATCATTCAATTGTAAGTAGAGAATAACAAAAATAAGGCATGGTCATGTCCCCTCTAGGAATATTAAAGGATACCACCTTGGACGTTGAGGTGTTTCATGGTCTCCTAATATTTAATTAGTAAGAATAGTCATACTACCAAACTATAGAGTCAATTTGTCACATCTAAATTAACATGTCAAATAGGTCGGATTATCTAATTAGATTCAAGGCAAAAAATTTCAAATCACATCAAATTTGTTTCAAGATCAAACGACTTTGATTCAATTCAAGTCTATTTATAA